GATTAAGTCTCGCGAGGCACATCTGATTTTTCGCATTTTTGCACGTAAAGAGGCTATTTCGTAAAATAAATGTGAAAAATTTCAGCCGTCTATTATTATTATTATTATTATTGTTACTAATTTCGCCAGAGAAATAAATTCTAAGACTAAACTCTTAAAAGCACTAGCATCTAAGGCTATCGGCTTTTTTTTATTAAAAACTCTACCGCACTTGAGATTCGAACCCACGACCATTGACTTGCTAGTCGAGATTCCTCGCCTTCGGTTACTCAGGCGGATATTCAGCCGTCTAACTTTTATAATTTTTGAGTAACGAGCACCGACACGTTTTTGTTAAGAAAAATGGAGTTGCGTTCAGTTTTGGCTCTACTGCGAGCCCTAGTTTTCCATTTCCAATATCAACTTGCGTGCTACCAAATTTGAGGTCCATATCTTAATTTTTGCGACCAGGAGAGTGCCAACAACATCAACGCACAGACGGGCAGGCATGGCTACATAAAACCAAAATTCTACGCTGATCAAAAATGTACATATTTTATAGGGCCTCTGAAGCTTCGTTTTGGATGTTACATACGTTATGAAAAAAAAACAATATGATTGCACCCCCATCCTTCAGTGGCTGGTATAAAGCGATATACAACCACCTTACCAATAAAAGTAGATGCTATTACAAAATAAACATCATATGGAAATTGATATGAAAGTATTTTTTACTTGTTTTTTACACAGTATACGGAATTAAATGATTATCACTGTAAATATTCATCATCATATTATTTGAATTAATCATTTTTTGATTGTTAAAGACCAATTCTAACATATTCTGTAGCTAGCCATCCGTGTTTCAGTTAATAACTGTTTTAAGGATGATCTTATGATCCTCACAAAACATGTGATTCTTACAAAGTTTGCAGGTAAAGGTTAAACTAAACGATGATCCTTTACGTCAAATATGTTTCTCTCGTCACAACTTTCAATACCTATCTTAAAAATTTTCCGCTGTAACATCACGAATTTCCCCTTAAAGAAATTCACCGTTTTTCTGCTGCTCTTTGTTTTAATCTGTGCATGTTAAACTTATATTGTTGTAAAAGAACACGATAAGTCTTGAGGGATTATAAATTTTTGAATATATATCAATTTTTAAACAAAACAAAATTAGGTGCTTACATGTGTGCGCAAAAGTATTTAGTATTTATATGTTTCCACGAAATTGTTAAATATTTTCTTAATGAGTTTTTGAAAATTTTATATTCATCTTATAATCACGAATGGTTTGAATTTTATCCTTCCGCGAAATTGGCTTACGCGAATGTTTCTCAATCTGTCTTACAGCTGCCTATTTTGTGAAACTTAAAAATGTTCTAGCGTAGTCCAAAAATTCCCGCAGGTATAGAGAATGTTTATCAATAGTTCGAATTTTTCTTAGTGAAGTTATTTTTGAAATGCATTTAATATAAGTTTGGGGAAAAAGAAATCCATTATATTTTCGGTAGATGGCTGCACTGATAGATTTCTCGTAAAGTGTCGATCAAACAATTTCATATTTATGTTCGTTGGAAAGGTGACATTTCGCAGTAAAAAAAATTCTTTTGCTGTTTTTTGTTTGGTGCATTCAGTTGTGAGTTACAGCGTGTTAAAAATGGAAGTGAACAAAGAGAAAATTCGGTACATTTTACAGTTTTTCTTTGACAAAGGCGAAAATGCAAGCAAGGCGGCTAAGATTGTGAATGGTGTTTATGGTTCCGATACTGTAACAGCCAATTATGTGCAATTTTGGTTTCGTAGATTCCGTTCAGGAATTTTTGATGTTAAAGATGCACCTCGCACAGGTAGGCCGGTCGTCGAAAATGTCGATAAAATCGGAGAAATGATCGAAGTTGACCGGCATGTTAGCAGTCGTAACATCGCCCAGGAGCTAAAAATCGACCATAAAACAGTTTTAAACCATTTACACAAAGCTGGATTCAAAAAGAAGCTCGATGTTTGGGTGCCACACCAATTAACAGAAAAAAACATGATGGATCGAATTTCCATCTGCGAAGCCTTGGCCAAACGGAATGAGATAGACCCATTTCTTAAACGGATGGTGACTGGAGATGAGAAATGGATCACATACGATAACCCTGTGCGAAAACGATCGTGGTCAAAGAGCGGTGAAGCACCTCAAACGGCCAGGAAGGTTTTGCTATGCATTTGGTGGAACTGGGAGGGGATTATTTATTATGAGTTGCTTCCATATGGCCAAACGCTAAATTCTGATCTCTACTGTCAACAACTGGACCGTTTGAAGATAGCGATTGACCAGAAACGGCCAGAATTGGCCAACAGGAGAGGTGTCGCGTTCCACCAGGACAACGCACACCTACAGTGACTCGCCAGAAACTTCGGGAGCTTGGTTGGGAAGTTTTAATGCATCCGCCATACAGTCCGGACTTGGCACCAATTGGTTGAAAAAAAGGAACGGAAAATTATTTGATATCGTCCCTCTAAATAAATCGATGTTAAGGGACGCAATTGAAAAAAGTTCAACGCTTGATGGGCTTAGTGTTATAAGTAATACTCTGAATAAAAATCATTCGCAAGATGAATTTGTTGTTCAAGTTGTTGTGCCTTCGTCAGAGGAGGAATCATCGCAATTGTCAGAATCGAAGGAAAATCACGAAAATATTAACGATGGCTTCGAAAAGGTAAGCTAAAAATCACTTGCTAAAATTAGGTGATAAACAATAATTTACATTTTTTCTAATTAGTCAACGAAAGAAAAGTCTCAACCAAATACTCCGCGCAAGAAGGAATTGAACGAAGCTGCCAAGCTCTGCATTCGAAAAAAGAAGCTTCGTCGTTGCATATCTAATGTAATAACTTGGAGAAAAAATAACGATGTGTCAAACCGTCAATCGAGTGATTCCGCTGATTCGGATCTTAACACAGGATTAACGTGCGGTACTCTCCCTCGCATCAAGAATCTTTTTACCAGGAAACTGCCATTGAAAAATCGCAATTGTTCATCAGCTAAAGAAAGGCCAGCAATTACCGCCATAGATTTGAATGTAACTGAATTAAACAAATCCTGGTTAAATCGATTGAATTCGCCGACAAAAGTTAATAAACTATACACCTTAACAGCTATGTCAACGCCTTCAAGTAATACGGTTAGTGATGTGATATCTTCAGTAGACTTAGTGGAGCACTCGAAGAAAACAACAATAACCAAAACTAAACTTGCTAGAAAGCTCATCGATAGCTTTATAGATCAAGGATTTGAAACGGGTTCCAATGGAATTGAAAGCCCAAAATCTAATAGTCCGACAATTAATAGAAGTGAAATGCTAATCTTCACTGATGGCGACGAAAAATACAAGACGATAAATAAAATTACACATCAGGGCGGTGTTTCCTTTTCGCCAACGCCGAGCAAAGTTACCAATCCAGATTCCCAAGCAAATATGTTTAGTGTGACTAGTACTAATTTCGTGGAAAATCTTATACCGAATGCTTCAAAATTCGTATCAGGTCCTCGTATTGGAAACCCCGACGTAGTCAAAAGCAGCGATATTGGCTATATCGAATTGGACTCACTCAGAGCAGAGACCTTAGATCAACAAAATGACTGGGCATCGCTTGATAGTGTGGAGCTGATAAATCCAAATAATTCGTTAAGCTCTGACTGCAAATTTTCAACCATAGCTATGGGAAATATCGAAACAAATGAATGGCATGAATTGGAATTGGAAGAGCATATGCAAAATTGTTTCCCTTTGCCAGATAATACTTGCAACTTTGTAACGAATCATTTAAATGCATCTCCGGAATATCAGCGTGAATTACTTAACATATTCCTTGCCATTGATAAAATGGGTAAGGATGGTGCTTTTCAATTTTGTTCTGACGAACAGCTTAAAAGTTTCATGTACTTTTTGAATCAATATGCTACACACTGCTTGACGACTTGTAGAGAACATATTAAAGCTATTTCCCATATGGTTGCAATGCGTTCTGATCGTGGTAATTGATTTTAATTGAGATCTTTTGACCGTTTATTCTAATATTATCAACGACATTTCGAAAAATAATTTTACTTATTTAAAAGTTTTAATAAATGTTATTTTATAAAGAATAAACTATTACGCAATTATTTAAAAAAAAACAAAATTCAATTGCTGAGTTCAGGTTGAGATATATGGTCTATAGACAAATAGACTAGATATATTTTGTACAAACATTTAATGTTAAGTTGAAATCACATCACATCAATGAATTTTATGAACTTTATTTCCTTTTAAGCGAAAGTGTTCAAAACCAATCAAAATATACTTTGCTTTAACGTCTTGTTACAAGAATCGATGTCTCAACGATTCGATTTACATTATCTTCGAAAGCATTTAATATAGTTTTAGCATGCTAAAATTTAAGCAGAAAAAAATGCATGTTAAAAACGAACCATAGATATGATTTAAAGGAATTTTTTTATGCAAAAGGCGTTGACAACTTGGCATTGCCAAGTTGAGTATCTTACCTAAATTGTTCGACAGAATTGTCACTCATTATTAGGTTTTGCTATTAAATCTCCATTCCAGCATGGTTTCCTAAAAGGAAGATCAACTCCTACGAATCTCTTAGAGTTTACTTACCGTGTTTTCAAGGCATTTATTTGTGGATCTCGCACGGATTTCGTATGTACCGATTTTAGTAACGCGCTTGACTTAAGTAAACATAAGTTATTGATTTTCAAACTCTAAGCCTATGGCTTCCCTTTGTACTTAGTGAAATGGGTAAGCTCTTCTTTGAGTACACATCGTTTAGGATTCTGTTTAACTTCATTGACTCGCATGAACATTCCGTGACGTCTGGCGTTTCTCAAGGCAGCCACTTAGGGTCCCATTCCGCCCCTCGGTGATTAAATCCAGCTAGATGTTAATGTATGCTGGTGATGTTAAACTTGCGATTCTTGCTTCCCCTTGGAATCGCAATCGTGTCAGCTTGAAATTGACCTAAATACTGTGGTTACACGATCCTCATTAAATTTTATGAAATTAAATCTAAGAAAATGTAAGAAGCTTTCTTTCTTAAGAAGAAAGTCATTCAATGCTGAATATTTCATTGATTCACGCAAGTTGGAAAAAGTTTATTTTTTCATCGATTTGGGGGTTGTATTCGACCAAAGATTACATTTTAATGTGTGGTCCAGAACATATATTATTATTGTCCAAATCCGGTAACGTTATTGCCTATGTTAAATTATTATTATGCGCTAATTCTCCCCAAGCTACATTGAAAATTATGTCGTTTCTTAGAAAGCAATTTTGAATTGATCGGTATAATAAGCTAAGCTAACTTAATTTAACATCACGATTAATATTCTCATTGAAGCGAATTTTAAGCGCTGTTGAATAAAGTTATTTAAGCTTAAGCTCACATGTTAGAAGAATAAATGTCATTTCTTGTCATTTATTAACGATTATACTTTAGAATTGTGCTCTTCTTACAGATACCATCGGCATTTTTCTTAATTTTGAAAACAAATCACAATTTTCTGTATTTAGCACATTTGCTAATCCCAGTAATTCACTTTGAATCTTTAGGCAAAGGTTTCCAGTCGATGTCATCATTAAAGACCTTATCAGGAATTTTTTGATACAAGGTCAATAATTGCAAGTAACTTGGAATTTCTTAAAAAAAACTGACAGGAGAAAAACTTTGCAAGGTTTCAATAACCTTTTTATAAATCTTTGACAATAAATACAACTGCGGAAAATAACAGAATGGGGAAGGAAGAAAGAGCACACACTGAAATTTCTTTCTCTAATTTTGTAAATACAATTGAAATTTAAAGTCATGGTAATGAAGTTTCTAAAAGCACGGTAAATAGTGGTTTCTTTACCTGTAATATAATGTCTATACATAATCTAAAGTAGATTTAAAATAATGTCTGGAATTATTTATAGCGGAATATAAAAAATATAAGTGCGTAAAATTATGAGGAAACTTGCATTTCTATTGCAATTATAACAAGTGAGATAAAGATATTCGGTCATGAGCGAATACCTACCACCGCTATCCTAAAGAAGACCAGAGAAAGCTAGAACTACATTTTCTTACTCTATTGTATGGAATGAACTCGGTTGAGTGTTTCTATTTTCAAAATAAAAGTTTTTGCCTTATAGGCGTGTCCTTTGGAAAGCGACATCTTCATTTTCGCTATACAGGATGATATTCACCACAAACATTGCATAATTGGGCAGATGGACAGAGGGACAACGAATAGACATACTTAGATGTATTCCGAACTTGAAACTGGCCAAGAATTTGAACACTTTATGAAACTTGCTTCTGGGCTTTATAAAGGATTTAAAAAAAATAAAAAAATTTTGATATACTATAATATTGGGTAGGCCTGCCCGATTTTTTTCCATTCTTGCATAAGTGTTACAGTGTCGCTTTAAAATTTTGTACATTCATCTCCTATAGTTTATGAATAATGAGCAAAAAACCAATTTGTTATTCCTTTAGAAAAAGAGAAGTGTTCTTAGTTTGTATGGTGCTCTGGCCATGTTCTTTGAACGATTTCCCCGTTTTTCAATACCAACCTGCGTGCAGGAACCTGCCAAATTCGAAATCGAGTGTGTGTTTTGTATGGCCAGAAGAAAGTTTTCAGCAGACATTACACAGACGGACACGTTTAAATCGATTTAGAATTTGATGCTGATCAAGATTTATATATATGTTGTAGAGTCTGTGATGATTCATTCTGGGCACTGCAAACACTTTAGCAAAATGAACATATCTCTCATCCTTCGATGATGTATAGAAAAATCCGTCTGCTTATCCTCATCGTAAACGTTTTGTATATAACGCTACACAAATTAAGCAAGTTGAAAATTCCTGGAATTTTCTACTTTTAATCTGTCGCTCTAATGAAAAAATAGCAGGTATAAGCAAATCATGTACACGATAAATTTAGCGAAATTACAAAGGGTCTCCGTAAACGATAGGTAAAAAAACCTTTAAATTGTTGCAGAATAATTAAAAGTACCTAAATCATGAGCGATATGTTCTTGTATAAAACAACTCGCAAATAACTGAAAAGAAAGCAGTTTTAAATTAGAACTTAGTGCGTTGACTTAAATCTGGCAATTGTTCAGTGATATAGTTTTAAAATGGTGAAAAATTTATTAATTCCGGTGTACACTCGTGTAGAAGAATTGAAGCGAAATTTCGAGATAAAATTATCTATAAAACTGCCTGCGGAAAAGGAATTCAAATATGAAAAAATGGAGAGAAAATCGAAAATTAAAGAAATCATTTCTCTATTTGATACAAAAATCCCTAAAATTATCCATAGTACCAAAGGAGAAAGAACAAATTTTGAAACATTGACAAAGGAACAATCGCCGGAGAGAGAGCAGCAACCAAAACCGAATATCGTATTGATTAAATCCATTCCTAAATCACATCATAATTTTGCCCATAATGAAAACCAAAAGAGCAACAGTGCTCGAAAATCGCCAGTGATAAAATATGCAAAATCCTTAAATAATGAAAATGAAAAATCTCAGCTTCAGCACCCATTAAATGAGCAAGATATTAGTCAACTTTCTGTGAAAAATAAAATTCTTTTGTATACAAAATTCATAGAGGACATGTTAAAGGGAAACGCAAAGTATGAAAATAAAAATATAAATTGTTATCAAGAAAACGTATTGCAAGCATCAGTTAAACGTTTAGTCGAAGAATACGAAAAACGGTGTCGCCTAACTCAGCAGAGTTTTTCAGCCAAAAGCCAAGGTCAATTAATAGAAGAACTGGATGAGAACGAAGCTCACTCATGGCATAAAGCGTCTGTAGAGGTCGGCGAAATAAATGAACAACCTACACCTGCTAAGAATTTAAAGATAACTATCAATATTAACAAATTTTCAAAAGAAGCTGAACAGAATCATGACTTTGGCTCGCCAAAAACAGTTTTAGTAAACGTTAATGCAGACAACACACGAACCCGTAAAAAATGCAATGAGGATATGTTTGATATTTCATCTAATGAAAATACCGCTGTTATGCTACAAGACAACTTATCGCTGCTTCGAAGTCAGGAATGGAAAGAGCTATTTCATAATTGGCTGAAAAAACGAGGTGAAAGCTTTTCTAAGTCGAATTTTGTTGGAAACGCAGTTGTATTTCCATCAAGTAACAGTAAATTAACGGAATCTTCTCTGCTGTCGCAAAAATGCGCCTTTGATAAATTCTTAGAGGAAGCTGTAGAAAAACTTAAAAACGAGTGTTCGATAGGTAAAGAAACTGTTTGTGTCGACGAGAGGAAGAACGATTCCAATGAGTCTGCAGATTTCCCGCAAAATGTTATATCAGACGACATTGCTTCTGCTTGTAAAGCTAAAAGTCTAGAAACTGAATCGGGCTTATTAAGTTTATCCAAGGTAAGTGTTACACATTTCTTTGCAAAAGCAAAACAAACGATGACAAACTTCTCGTTCAATCCTTTACAGAACACCAACGTTGGTTCACAATATGAACAACATGAAAATCATAACATTTGCGCACTTAGTCGAAAGAAAAAGAATTCCGAATTTATGCCATCAGTAAAACTACCACGCACAAAAGAATCATGTCATACGGCCACTCGTGCAAAGGAAAGTTCTAATAGTTCCTTCGATTCCGAGAGCGATTTTGAATTTTTCACTTCAAACCAAGCTAAAAAATTGTTAGCGGAAAGGGAAAGCACAAAAAGAAAACTTTTCGCCGAAAACAAAAATGATAGCAACGATGCAGTATTTGGCAGTGAACATATCGAAGAACAAAAATACTTAAAGTCCGAAACAGCTTCGTTGCATAAAATCAAATCAGCTTATGCTGGAACATGTCTGAATATGACATCAACGCCTAATTCGGAAAGCGCGATGAGAGATAAGGGGAATTCTATTACACACGCAGCGAGATGTTCGCCGCTTAGACATTCGTTTGTTAAAAACGTTTGTAAAATTTCCGGGTTCATCAAAGAAAAATTTAAGGATTGTTCTCTTATTGAGAGTCAAGCAGACGAAGGTTCGAAAGCCAACGGTGTCAGACCATCGCTTCTTAGTTCAGAGATCACCTTTAACAATTCTCCAACTCAGACGAATAGTCGAACAAGCTCACCGGACAAACTGGTCGAGTATCCTTCGAATTTCTCAACACCAAAATTAACACGAAAGTACCAAAGCAAACAGCAAAATTTCATCAGTTCTGTACGCCTACCTCTTAAAAACCGCCGCGCAAGTGTTCATGAAAGCGAATCACGGCGGGCTTCAGGAGTTATGCAAGCAATTCAAGAGAATCAACCTTTAAAACACTATGACGTTTGGTCCACTTCGCCTAAAGATTCGTCAATATCGGTACAACAGTTTTCTGACGCTAACGCTGACAAGACATCAACATTTTGGATGAAATCAGGCGATTTTTTGTTAACTCTTGATATATATTATGTTGAATCTGAGAAGCTACGTTTTCATTATGATATGCTTTGCCAAGAAAGCGGCAAAAATCAAACAGTGCATTTTGGAATTGACAATTATAAATTTTCGATACATGAAACAACACAAAATGAAAGCCGTTTGTCCTCACCAAAGTTATCATCGCACTATTGGTTTGCTACCGATAACATAGCGATACCGTTCAGCGGCAAACCTTTAAATGGTTTAAAAATAAAACGAATCTTTGGTTTCGTTAGCTCTTCAGTTTTGGAGACTGGACTTTTGCGTTTTGGTGTAGATCACATGGAATTCTCAAAAATACCAGAATTCGTACTAGACACACAACATTTATCTTTAGAAAGCAATTGGAGTCAGCTAATCGGCTTGCAAGCGGGTTACAGTAATGGTTTGGAAGGACGTGGTCAGTATGCTTGGCCCTCAACGAAGTTCATCTCTGAAGAAAACGACAATGAAGAAAGAGATGAACTGTCATGTCCACTTAATGCTAATAATTCCGTTTTATGTGATTTGAACGTTGAATCATTCAGCATACAAAGCAATTATGATGCTATGCTGGATGCGGACTCACAATATTGTTCCGATTCTTTGGACAATGTATTTAAACGCAACGACATCACTTAGCGTTCGATCTTGAAACCATTTGCTTAACCAATTAAACTGATTAATGTAAGGACACGGACGATGTAACAAGACTTAAAAAATATTTTCAAAGACTAGAGCTGACTTTTTAGCTCGCCTAAGCAAATTAAACCAACGGAAAGTGCCATGTCCGACAAGGCCAAAAAAAGCTATTTTTAAAATGCAGTTTGTAATTTGTAACCTTATGAATAAAATCAAATAAAGAAAATATATATAGTTTTATATATATGGTTCTTGTTTTTAGTGATTACGAATATGAACTAATTTTATTTTTTTTTTTAATTAAAAAAAATATAAACATTTAAAACATGAAAACAATTTCAAGTATGTTCGCAAATATAGATTTGCGCAGCAACAAATTAATTCGACGTAAAGTACAATCGTACTTACTTACGGATTTCTCTTGATCATTATATATTTAGAAGGTTATTAAATACTTTTCATTAAATAATGAAGCTCTTCCCCCGACAACGGGGTTGAAAATGCTTGGCATACATTTCGCACCATAAGAAGTAAGAAATTTATATTCGGTGGGGGCGGTATCTCGCATACTCACCGGTGTTCTTCTCGCTTTCTACTCTCCAAATTCTTTTATTTGGTACCTATATCGCTGGTATTATTAAGAAAAAGTCAACCGCGCTGCCTATCACATTCATTTTACAATTCACCCATCTTTATGCAGGCAATATGTCTTCATTTGATAAATATACAAAATAGGCCTAATCGTTCTACCTTGTTTGCGTTATGATAGCGATTAAGTCTCGCGAGGCACATCTGATTTTTCGCATTTTTGCACGTAAAGAGGCTATTTCGTAAAATAAATGTGAAAAATTTCAGCCGTCTATTATTATTATTATTATTATTGTTACTAATTTCGCCAGAGAAATAAATTCTAAGACTAAACTCTTAAAAGCACTAGCATCTAAGGCTATCGGCTTTTTTTTATTAAAAACTCTACCGCACTTGAGATTCGAACCCACGACCATTGACTTGCTAGTCGAGATTCCTCGCCTTCGGTTACTCAGGCGGATATTCAGCCGTCTAACTTTTATAATTTTTGAGTAACGAGCACCGACACGTTTTTGTTAAGAAAAATGGAGTTGCGTTCAGTTTTGGCTCTACTGCGAGCCCTAGTTTTCCATTTCCAATATCAACTTGCGTGCTACCAAATTTGAGGTCCATATCTTAATTTTTGCGACCAGGAGAGTGCCAACAACATCAACGCACAGACGGGCAGGCATGGCTACATAAAACCAAAATTCTACGCTGATCAAAAATGTACATATTTTATAGGGCCTCTGAAGCTTCGTTTTGGATGTTACATACGTTATGAAAAAAAAACAATATGATTGCACCCCCATCCTTCAGTGGCTGGTATAAAGCGATATACAACCACCTTACCAATAAAAGTAGATGCTATTACAAAATAAACATCATATGGAAATTGATATGAAAGTATTTTTTACTTGTTTTTTACACAGTATACGGAATTAAATGATTATCACTGTAAATATTCATCATCATATTATTTGAATTAATCATTTTTTGATTGTTAAAGACCAATTCTAACATATTCTGTAGCTAGCCATC